AATAACAATAATTATTATTATTTATTTATTTATTATTATCATCCAATTTACAACGTTTCCAACAGACCTTGGGGCCCTTTCTGCTTAGAGGTGACCTCTGAACGAGAGAAAATAAAAATCATTTTTCAATTTTTATTACATTTACACACACACCACACAGAGAGAGAGAGAGAAAGAAAGAGAGAGGAGAGAGAGAGGAGAGAGAGAAAAAACACACACAGACACACAGAGAAACACAGACACACACGTACACACACTATTATACTGCCACCCATTTCAGCCACCCACCAGTAAAAAATATATATAAATCTTGTTACTAATGCTAATGCTTCATTACTAATAGTACTACTACTCTTACAAGAGTATTACTACTACTACTACTACTACTACTACTACTACTTACTACAACTTCTCCCACTACTACTACTACTACTACTACTACTACTACTACTACTACGACTTTTACTACTACTACTACTAAACTACTACTACAACTTCTACTACTACTACTACTACTTCAACGACTACTACCGAAATAACTATCAGTAGCAGTATTGCAGTAGTGACAACAATAAGTGACAGCCGGCAACTGAACTTCTTCAGCTGTGTTACTAACGCGTTAAGCGCGAGTATCACAGACGAAAGTTCAATTATTGCTAGCCAAAATGTTTGAAAAAAGATGCTCTTACAGTTACTACTACTGCCAATCTAGACATTGTGACAATTGTTGCTAGCATTACAACTACTACAAAAAGTACAATTACTTTTACTCTTGTGCTTCTTCACGAGAAGGACAGCGGCCACTATGCAGATGACGAGAACCAACAGGCCAACACCCACGCCAACTCCTATGCCAATCTTTTCAGATCTCCCTGCATCGTCTTTAAATGAGTGAATGAGTAAGTGAATGAATAGATGAATAGACGAGTGAGTGAATGAACGAATGAATGAATAGATGAGTGAGTGATTGAATGAATGAATGAGTGATTGAATGAATGAATGAGTGAGCGATTGAATGAATGAATGAATGAATAAATGAATGAATGAATGAATGAATGAATGAATGAATGAATGAATGAATGAATGAGTGGACGAATGGAGCACTAATTATATGAAAATCTGGTTAAGCAGTTTGCAAGGAAAGTGAAATAATTTTTTTTACAAAATTTCTACTATTAAAGAACGAATGAATAATTAAAAAATACTTAATAAACGTATGTGTGTCGTGTGTGTATATATTTGTGTGTGTATATATATATTTGTGTGTGTGTGCATAAACATACAGATATAACCTTCTATAAAATATTTATCCTAATTAAGCCGTGCCATGTGTTTTAGTAATAAAAGAAGATATTATCAATAGCAGTAGTTATAGTAGGAATAATTAATCACATGATTCATGGTATTATAAATGGAAGATGGAGGACCTATTATTATTATTATTATTATTGGTGTTGTTGTTGTTATTGTTGTTAATGTTAGTAGGCAGAAATATAAAAAGCCGAAAATGAGGAATAAACAACTAAAGAGTGAAACGTAACATAAGTGGGAGATTTCTAATCCGCAACATCTGCTAGTATTGGACGATTTGAGTGCTTCAACGAACTAACTTTTTGTAGAAAGATGTCAAAATGGATGGAATGGAATCTCAAATATTCTAAAATTAGGCATGCCTCCTCGCCCTCGCCAACGGCTGATACAATGAAGGACGAAAATGGCCTCCTAAATCTTAGGCTTAAAACTGTTTTATGCTACAAACAGATTGAACAGGGCAGGTCACTCAGCAGCTAATAATCATTCATTGATCTTCCGCATAAAAAAATCCACCAACCTTTGCAATATGCCATAAAATCCAGCATACGTTATATAATATTTTGTAATATTATATATTATATTATATATAACATATATTATATGAACATTTTTTTTTTCTGAGATTGACAAAAATATTTCCTTTTAAATTTTTAGCATCGAACCGTTATTTATTTCGTTATGGTTTTCGGTTAAACTAGCAAACAATATTTCGCTTTGATTACGGCTTTTGTTCCGAACAAAATTTCGGTTTTTAACGGTTTTCGGTTACGGTTCAGTTCCGGTTCAGTTTTGGTTCGATGCCCTACTTAAAACCCTGAAAATAATGGCAGGGATCCTTGTGCAAATAAGCTGCAAACAACAAACTCAATGTATACTAAATGAAAGCAGTGCATATGCTACAGATTAATTGGCTAATTATTTCAACCAATTAATCAACTAGTTAGCTGTAACAATAAGCACATGATAATTACTACTACTACTACTTATAATAATAATCCTTTTTGTTTATAAACAAACCATTTGCATTAGGATTCTCTAGAATGATATCAGTTAAAAATATGTATATTATGAATAATAATAATTATAATTACAATAATAAAAATAATAATAATAATAATTATTATTATTATTATTGTAAACTGACCTTCAGGTTTGGGGATCTGATTGCCTATTAAATAAAAATTACTGAAATTAATTAAGACCGTGAAGTTGGCTATGCATATTATTACCATTATTATTATTATTATCATAAGTATTGCAATCATTCTTAATTTATATAGACCTTACTTAAGCAATAACGATGAAATGAAACTCACAATCGTTATAAACGATGACCGAACTACTATTTGCAGCTCTATATGTTACAGAGGTGATGACATTAGAAGCAGTGCATGTGCAATTATACGTGCCATTCTTAGTTAAGGTTGTAATATTAGTATCTGATGTGACAGGACTGTTGCTGCTGCTACTACTTCCATCATCATCTTGTGGAATGCATGAGATGCTATATGTTGGCGGTGGCACTCCAACCCCGTAGCAAGTGATTGAACGATCGACGCATGTATGAGTGCTGTTGAATTTAACATCTGTAACAGGCTCTGGAGGGTTTTTCATTAAAAAATATTCAACTTCCAAACAAGCCTTGCTCTACTTACTGTAAGAATAGCTTTTTCAAAAGCAAACAACAACTTTGCCCATAATCAAAGCAGGTAAATTTAATTATGAATCAAAGCAAGCATCAAATTATTTTATTCTTTTTCTTTCTCTCTCTCCCTCTCTCTCTTTATTGTTTGTACAACTTTGCAAAAATTTTACGGGACATATCATTGTTCGTCTTGATTTTGATATAAATTATTAAAAAAAAATAATCCACTCACTGTAAACTTTAACTGGTTTGGTGTAATTGAATCTTGCTTCATATAATGCTAGATCTGAATTTTTCTTAAAAGACCACACGTACTTGAAGTTGTTTGTGGCTCTGTAATCAGCTGGAAGAGTTGTACTAATATAAAATGACGTTAATTTTGAAACAACATTGAAATCAGCTTCGAAGGAACCAATCGGATCCTCTCCATTGAATATCGTAATTGTGTTTGGAGAGGCTTGTGAAGCACCCATGTAATAGCTGCCAGAAATGTCGATTGTCATGTTCTGCCCATCCATTAAAGTCTCTGGAGTTATGACCATCTCCAAATCTTTGTCTCCAAGAAAAAATTGTTTAGTTAGCAAATTATTGACAGCAGACATATATATTACACTGCATCTAGTTAGAAAAAACGAAAATATCTAACAGTTCTTATCTTTCATAAATCTATATAAAACAATTACCTTTAACAATGAGAAGTTTCACTATGTTATTGTCTGTGTAGCACGTAAATGTTCCAGCTGCTTCTTTAACTGCAGTAAAATTCTGTTTAAATTTTAAACTCTGAACTTCTGTTGCCATCCAAGCATCACTTGCACAACCTTCCCTGGACCAACTGACCCATGCACCGCTGGTTGTAAACAACACATCAGGTGAAATCTCTGCCAGACATGCTGCAGAAATAAAAGTTGTTTAGGGCAAGAAAAGTTAATAAAAAATTTTCAATTCTATTTTAAATTAAAAATTAAATAAAACTTAAAAAAAAAAATTGTTTTCAAAGGTGACTCATTGATTGACAATAACATAACATAATTGAATAATCTAATTGTGGTGTCTTTTGTTAACTTAACACACAGTTTAATCGTAAGCTTAAATTTTATGAATTTTCAATAATTCAGCATTTAGACTCATTAATTGACAATAACATTAAATAATTGAAAAATCTAATTTTTTTTGTCTTTATTATTGCAGCTCTGACATATGCAGAACCACTTACAATGATACAGATGTACTATCTACATATCTTTTATTATGATCTTCACATCTTCCTCTAATGATTTGAAGCTGCCATCTTCACCACAAAAGCTGTTTTCATCCTTTCCACACGACGTACACATGTATTTACGTGCACACGCAAGCACCGCATCATATACATCGAGTAAAAAATAGCCATTGAGAGGTTTGACTCAGCGAGCATTTGAACCACTGAAATATCTCGCCGGCCAACATGCGACAACTTATGTCGTCTACCAAATCACCAACCTCGAAAGGAAGGACGGCTGGGCTGGCCGGGGGTTGGCTACCAGATGAACCTGTAGAAACTGCAGGATTAGAACCTGGATCGTGGGAGTAGTTGAAGGACTCGGCCACGAGACCGGTGTCTTGTCTTTTGTTAACTTAACACACAGTTTTAATCTTAAACTTAAATTTAATGAATTTTCAATAATTCAGCATCTTTTCAAAAATATATATATATGTATTTGATTTGTATTTATTTTTATTTGATCGATTCTATCAGTTATCAATCATCAAAAACAAAACATTATCAATTTGACTACATAAAAAAATTTGCTATCTAAATCTCAATTACTTTAAAAATACATTCAATAAAATAAATAATTTGTAGCGTGAGATATGAAGAACATCTTTTATTTCATTTTAGATTTAACAATTTAATTTAATTACAATATAATATTTATTTTATATTTTATAATTTAATTTGGGTGGTACCTCACCTGGCATTGAGATTGAAGAGAGGCAGATAAAAATTAAACAAAAAATGGACATCTTCTGACTTCAATTCGAATTTTCGATAAAAAAGGTTTAATAAAATTGAATTATTACTAAATTAAAATGAAAAAAAAAAATCAGGTTTAAACGCCAAATAAATTCATATTTCGATATAAAATCTTTCTCTTCCTTGATTGTGAAAACAAGAAGTTATAAAAAGGTAACTTGGAAATTTAAGAATAAATTAACTAGCGCTATGCAATGTGTATAATCATCCACATACATCTATACTCGCAGTACACCATATCATTATATCATTTTCTATACGTTTCACGCTTGGACGTTCATACAACGTTATTTCTTTTTCGTTGCCATTTTATACTATTGCCTTGTTGTAACAGTTTTTGCGTCTGTCAGACTCTGATTCCTTAAATAATAATAATCTTCTTTTTTCTCGTGCCTTTGGCGACCATCGACCTCCACAAAATCCGATCTTTAACACTGTAGTAGTTGAAATGTGGTGATATTCAACAAGTAATACAAAGACTTATGTTATATAACTAATGTTATTCGTTGCTGACCGCGATCTCTTCTCTCTGCAATCTTTCCAGGAGTTGTTAAATTTTCCATACTTTCATTCCGCACCATGTGACTAAAAAACTTTAACTGACCCCGTCGGATTATCTTAATTTCCTCTTTTCATAACCAGACTGTTTTAACGCATCCTCATTCAAAGTATGAGAAGTCCAACTAGTTTTCATAATTCTTCTCAAAAACTACATCTCAGAAGCATCAATCTTTTTCCATTTCTTTAGAAATTGTCCAAGACTAAGAACCGTAAATTAGCACAGGGAAAATGTAAATGGTAAATGGGGTAAATGGGCGGCGTGATGGCTCAATGGTTAAAGGCGCCTGGTCTTGATATTGTAATGACTGGGTTCGAATACAAAAAGATCCCCACCTATCATATGCAATGTGTATGATGCGTGGTTTGCACGCGTATTCATGTACGATGTGTGTGTTTGTCGTCGAAACCTCTGAAGCAAACGCTAAAGAGAGAGAGAGACCTTTAACTCAAACGGTTTTAATTTTGCTGATATTGTGATTTTACTGTTGGTGAGGATGTTTTTTATTTTAGAATATGCATCATAAGCCATAGCTTTCCTTCTTTTGATATCTACATCACATTTACAACCTGGGGTAATAAGACTTCCGAGATAATTAAAGCTGTTGACTTGTTTCGCCTATTTATCATTAATGATTATAGAGCAGATCGGAACGGTTTTGCTTTTATTAATAACCATGCACTCTGTTTTGTTGATGCTAATTTGCAAGCCTTTCTTTTCACTTTCAAAAACCAGTTTGGAAACAATTGCTTGCAATTTTTCCATTATCATCGGCATATCTTACATTGATAATATTCACGCCTCCAATAAATATTCCAGGTAGATCTTTTATCTTACTCATGATGATCTCATTATAGAGATTGTACAGGTCTGGAGAGAATATAGGGCCTAGCCTAACATCTTTTTTCATTTCGACAAAACTAGTCTTCTTGTCGCCAACTTTCATCGCTGCTCTTTGTTCCTAATAGACAGTACCGGATTAATCAATAAGCACCCTAAGCACGTGCTTAGGGCACCGCATGAAAAGGGGCACCGCGACGAGCCACCACAATTTTTTGCAATTACTAAATTGTTGCATAAACTAGCGTGATGTTCATTTGAGATGAATGAGTCATATTAATTAACTAACAATGTCCTGTCCACGGACCACGGTCTATGTTGTGTGGACATAGAGTTACTTATTTAATTTAACTTATGATTAAAGGTTAAAGCTCTAGCCGCTACCTTCCATCTTCTAATAATTACATGATGTATGTGTTATGTGTATATAATATTGTAAATACTTGGATTTGGTTGGTTGTTCGGGCACCATAATTGTAAAGTGCTTAGGGCCCCTGAATATATTAATCCGGCCCTGCCAATAGAGGTTCTTGATAACTCTCGTGTGTTTTCCATCAATGTCCAAATCCTTCCATAAGCTCCACGTGTTTCACGCCATCAACAGCTTTGGAGTAATTGACAAAACATATAAACAAGTCTTTCCTCATTTCAATCGCTCGTCCACTGATCATTCGTAGCATAAAGATAGGGTTTTTTTTGTGCCACAATAATAATAAAAATTTGTAATTCAATAAACACATTTTTGAAACAAAAACAATAATTTCAATAAATAACAAAGTTCAAATAAGAAAACGAAAAGGCGGTTAACAAAAATCCAGCATTATAAATTACAGTTTAAGATAAATAAAGTAAATTTGTACTGATGTTATTATTATGAATGCTATGCATTCATAATGCTTCGTACAAATATTTAAATCATTAATTATTATCCTTTTCTTTCTCTTTAAGTAATGGTGAGCAACAACGGGACGAGGCTGGCGCAAACTCCAATGCCAATCTTTACAGATCTCTCTGCATCTTCATGGGATGAGTGAATGGATGGGTGAGTGAATGAATAAAAAAAAGTATAGCGAATGAATGAATTACTCATTTTTATGAAAATTAGGTTAAGCAGTTTACAAAAAAGTTGAAATAAATTTCTTAAAAATTTTAAATTTTTTTCTCATCTCTAAATATTTTATATTTAGATTGAATTCACTTTTGATTTTCTTCAACTTTGTCCTGATTTTACAAACAACTGGGTTATGATAATAAGCCACAATAAGCTAACTCTGGGGTAACTTTTGCATTGTATTGATAAAACAGCATTTTGAAAATTTTTATTATTATGACTTGCGTATGGTTTATATAATTATATTTATATTACAAATAAGAATAATAACAATAATCGTAATTATAATTATTGTTATTATTTCTATTATTTATAATATAAATATAATTATATAAAAAACCATACGCCATAGTAATAGTAACAAATAAACTGTAACAAACCATTTGCATGAGGTTTCTCTGGAATGATGTTAATAATCGTAATTATAATTATTATTCCCATTATTTATAATATAAATATAATTATATAAAATAAACCATACACCATAGTAATAGTAGTAAAATGTAACAAACCATTTGCAGGAGGTTTCTCTGGAATGATATTAATTACCAAAATATGTATATCATGAATAATAATAATTATAATTTGATTATAAATAATAATTATTATAATAATTATTGTAAACTGACCTTTAGGTTTAGTGGTCTCACTGTAGTCTATTAAATAAAAAGCCTTACTCTTAGTACCAGTAGCATATGTATTATTATCACTGCTATCATAGTAGTCGTCACAAATGGAATAAGTTGAGTTGAAGTCAGCACGGTGGTAATCTAGAATTCTCAATCAATTGATTCATTCATATGTATATTATGGATAAAAATAGTTATAATAAAAATCAATCTTCGTTTTGCGTCCAGAGACCCGGTTCCCCGAGGTAGGATGTAGTTATAATAAAAATAATAGCTATTATTTTCACTGTAAACTGACCTTCTTCAAATACAGTGGTCTCAGTGCCTATTAAATAAAAATGCCTAATGTTATTTATGATTGTCAAATTGGCTACGCATAATTTTATAATTATTATTATAATTATATTTAAGTATAATAGGTTTTAGTGTTAATTCTTGCAATTATTCCTGTTATTAATATAAATATAAATTCGTGAACCTCACTTAAATAATAGTAATTAGATGAAACAAACCCTCTGTGCTAAGATGTTCTAGAATATGAATTACAACAAATAAGCATATAATGGATAATAATAATTATATTATAATAAATATAATTATAAAAAACTGATTGATAGTAATTACCAAAAAGAATTATAGTACGAATAATAACTATTATAATTATTGTAAGCTGACCATAGGGTTTTGGGATCTGGTCGCCTGTTAAATAAAAATGCCTGATTGATGTCATTTATGATTGTGAAGTTAGCTACGCATAATTTTATTATTATTATTATTATTATTATATCTAGTTATCAGTGGTTTTAGTACTAGTATTATATGTATTATTATCGTTGCTATTATAGTCGCAGTCACAAATGTAAGAAAGAAGTTGCTGAGTTGAGTTCAAAAGTCAGTAAGGCGGTAATCTAGAACACTCAATCAATTCATCCTATGTTTCAATCATTCATTCATCCTTTTATTCATCCCTACATCCTACGCATCATAATTTTTTTTTATTCATAAGTATTGCAATTATTCCTATTATTAATTAAAATAAATAAATTTAACTTAAGTAATAACATGAAACTCACAATTACTATAAACGATGACCGAACTACTATTTGCAGCTCTATATGATTCAGAGATGATGACGTTGGAAGCAGTGCATGTGCAATTATACATACCACTCACGGTTAAAGTCAAAACATTAGTATCTGATGTGACAGGACTGTTGCTGCTGCTACTACTTCCATCATCATCTTGTGGAATGCATGAGATGCTATATGTTGGCGGTGGCACTCCAACCCCGTTGCAAGTTATCGAACGATCGACGCATGTATGAGTGCTGTTGAATTTAACATCTGAAACAGGCTCTGGAGGGTTTTTCATTAAAAAACATTCAAATTCCAAACAAGCCTAGCTCTACTTACTGTAAGAATATCTTTTTCAAAAGCAAACAACAAGTTTGCCCATAATCAAAGCAAGCAAATTTAATTATGAACCAAAGCAAACAAAATGTCCCGTAAAATTTTTGCAAAAATTTTACGGGACATATCATTGTTCGTCTTCATTTTGATATAAATTATTAAAAAAAAATAATCCACTCACTGTAAACTTTAACTGGTTTGGTGTAATTGAAACTTGCTTCATATAATGCTAGATCTGAATTTTTCTTAAAAGACCACACGTACTTGAAGTTGTTTGTAGCTCTGTAATCAGCTTGAAGAGTTGTACTAATATAAAATGAAGTTAATTTTGAATCACTCTTGAAATCAGCTTTGAAGGAACCAATTGGATCCTCTCCATTGAATATCGTAATTGTGTTTGGAGAGGCTTGTGAACTGCCCATGTAATAGCTGCCAGAAATGTCGATTGTCATGTTCTGCCCATCCATTAAAGTCTCTGGAGTTATGACCATCTCCAAATCTTTGTCTCCAAAAAAAAATTGTTTAGTTAGCAAATTATTGACAGCAGACATATATATTACACTACACCTAGTTAGAAAAAACTAAAATATCTAACAGTTCTTATCTTTCATAAATCTATATAAAACAATTACCTTTAACAATGAGAAGTTTCACTATGTTATTGTCTGTGACGCACACAAAGATCCCAGCTGCTTCTTTAACTGCAGTAAAATTCTGTTTAAATTTTAAACTCTGACCGTCTGTTGCCATCCAAGCATCACTTGCACAACCTTCCCTGGACCAACTGACCCATGCACCGCTGGTTGTAAACAACACATCAGGTGAAACCTCTGCCAGACATGCTGCAGAAATAAAAGTTGTTTAAGGCAAGAAAAGTTAATAAAAAAAATAATGGTTGATTTGTCAATATCATTTGGAATTAATAATTAAATACCACTTTTAAACAAAAATTGTTTTCAATGATGACTCATTGATTGACAATATTGATAATTGTGGTTTTTTTAGTTAACAGTTTAATATTTTATAAATTTTCAATGGTTTATTTTTGTGCTTAGTCTAGTCTAATGTCATCACTTAGTGGCAGTGTCCTTCAAATTTAAAAAAAATATTTTTGTGATTTGCATATGATCTCCGCCATCTAAATTATTGTAAAAATTCATTTAATAACAAAATAGTATATATAAATCTTGAATTTTATTTTAGATTTATTATGATTGCAACTTATTAATTTGTGTGGTACCTCACCTGGCAGTGGTGAGAAGCAAATAAAAATCATACAAAAAACGGACATTTTCTGACTTCAACTCAAATTTTTGACAAAAAAGTTTAACAAAAGCAAATTATTATTAATTTCATATTAAAAAAAATCCGGTTTGATCGCCAAATTATATATAAACTTCTTCCCCACCGTTCGCGAAATAAAAAGTTATTATTCAAAAAAATTAACAGTAACTAACTTACGAAACAAATATGAATAAATTAACTAGCGCTATACAATATCTATAATTGTGTATATTTATTCATATATATCTATATACATGTACTGCGGGTATTTGCACAGTATATACAATGTATACCGTCATACATTTACATTAAATACACACATATATGTACGTAACATGTAGATAAATGGAAGATAATTTTATCTTTAAATAAATTTTAGTCATTAAATTTGACATTTTGTGAAGAGACATTTCTATCTTTCTTCTTCTTCTTTCTCGTGTCTTACCCTTTCAGGCCATTGGCGATCATCGACCTCCACAAAACCCGATCTTTAACACTTTGTAGTAGTTGAAATGTGGTGATATTCAACGAGGACTTTACAAATGTTATTCATTGTTGACCGCGATCTCTTTTTCTTGCAATCTTTCCAGGAGTTGTTAGATTTTCCATTTTTTCCTTTCGCATGATTTGACCGAAAAACTGCCCCGTCGGATTATCTGTAGTAATTTTTTCTTTTCATTACCGGACTGTTTTAATACATCCTCATTTAAAGTATGAGAGGTCCAACTAAATTTTATATAATTCTTCTCCAAAACCACATCTCAGCACCATCAATCTTTTTTCCCATTTCTTTAAAAATTGTCCAGGACTCTGAGCCGTAAGCTAGCACAGGGAAAATGTAACACTCTAACGGTTTTAATTTTGCTGATATTGTGATTTTATTGTTGGTGAGGATGTTTTTTATTTTAGAATATGTATCATTTGCTATAGCTTTCCTTTTTTGATTTTACTGTTGGTGAGGATGTTTTTTATTTTAGAATATGCATCATTTGCCATAGCTTTCCCTTTGATATCTACATCACATTTAGAACCTGAGGTAATCAGACTTCCGAGATACTTAAGCTGCTAACTTGTTTCGCCTGTTTATCATTAATGATTATAGAGCAGATCGGGGCGGTTTTGCTTTTACTAATAACCATACACTCTGTTTTGTTGATGTTAATTTGCTAGCCTTTCTTTTCACTTTCAAAACCCAGTTTGGAAACAATTGCTTGCAATTTTTCCATTATCATCGGCATATCTTACATTGATAATATTCACGCCTCCAATGAATATTCCATGTAGATCTTCTATCTTACTTATGATGATCTTACTATAGAGATTGTACAGGTCTGGAGAGAATATACAGCCTTGCCTAACATCTTTCTTCATTTCGACAAAACTAGTCTTCTTGTCACCAACTTTCATCGCTGCTCTTTGTTCCCAATAGACAGTACGGGATTAAGCAATAAGCACCTTAAGCACGTGCTTAGGGCACCGCATGAAAAGGGGCACCGCAACGAGCCACCACAATTTTTTGCAATTACTAAATTGTTGCATAAACTAGCGTGATGTTCATTTGAGATGAATTAGTCATATTAATTAACTAACAATGTCAACGGACCACGGTCTATGTTGTGTGGACATAGAGTTACTTATTTAATTTAACTTATGATTAAAGATTAAAGCTCTAGCCGCTACCTTCCATCTTCTAATAATTACATGATGTATGTGTATATAAAATTGTAAATACTTGGATTTGGTTGGTTGTTCGGGCACCATAATTGTAAAGTGCTTATGGCCCCTGAATATGTTAATCCGGCCCTGCCAATAGAGGTTTTTGATAACTCTCGTGTATTTTCCATCAATGTCCAAATTTTCAAATCCTTCCATGAGCTCCACGTGTTTCACGCCATCAACAGCTTTAGAGTAATTGACAAAACATATAAACAAGTCTTTCCTCATTTCAATCGCTCGTCCACTGATCATTCGTAGCATAAAGATAGGGTTTTTTTTGTGCCACAATAATAATAAAAATTTGTAATTCAATAAACACATTTTTGAAACAAAAACAATAATTTCAATAAATAACAAAGTTCAAATAAGAAAACGAAAAGGCGGTTAACAAAAATCCAATATTATAAATTACAGTTTAAGATAAATAAAGTAAATTTGTACTGATGTTATTATTATGAATGCTATGCATTCATAATGCTTCGTACAAATACTCAAATCATTAATTATTATCCTTTTCTTTCTCTTTAAGTAATGGTGAGCAACAACGGGACGAGGCTGGCGCCAACTCCAATGCCAATCTTTACAGATCTCTCTGCATCTTCATGGGATGAGTGAATGGATGGGTGAGTGAATGAATAAAAAAAAGTATAGCGAATGAATGAATTACTCATTTTTATGAAAATTAGGTTAAGCAGTTTACAAAGAAGTTGAAATAAATTTCTTAAAAATTTTAAATTTTTTTCTCATCTCTAAATATTTTATATTTAGATTGAATTCACTTTTGATTTTCTTCAACTTTGTCCTGATTTTACAAACAACTGGGTTATGATCAGAGCCACAATAAGCTAGCTCCGGGGTAACTTTTGCATTGTATTGATAAAACAGCATTTTGAAAAATTTTATTATTATGACTTGCGTATGGTTTATATAATTATATTTATATTACAAATAAGAATAATAACAATAATTGTAATTATAATTATTGTTATTATTTCTATTATTTATAATATAAATATAATTATATAAAAAACCATACGCCATAGTTCATTTCATTTCATTTTTTTCATTTCATTTCAAAGTTTTATTCATAATCAACAACATATCAAATAAGTGAATAAAAGTTATGAAGTTGAATATGCGGAGACCGAATAAGACTGTTTGTCTTGTGGTGGCCACCGCAGGTAGATACATGAATAGTTAATGAAATAAAATAAGGAAAATAACTGAAGCAGAAAGATAATTGAAGATAAATAAGTAAATGTTCGTGTCATACATATATAGACATATAACTATGTAAATGTTCGCTCAGTACATATATAAACACATAAATGTTTAACCATTCATAAAGACCATTCATCCGCATCATTTGTTCTAGCTTATTCTTAATATAATATTAGGTGGTGGAGTCGAGATCCAGTGTCAATAAAAAAGCACGGAATTTTGACTTGAAATGTATTAGGTTTATGATGGCTCTTAGATGGGGAGGTACAAGTTCTGTCCAAATTTTAGGACCTGTTATTTTTATGCTTGTCTGGATTAATTTGAGGCGAGTTTTGTAGATATAGAAGAGAGGGGTGTGTCTAGTGGTTGTAGATTGAACGGAGTTACTTAATGTGTAGAAGTTGATAAAGTGAGGTGGGAGAAGATTGTTGATAAATTTAAAAACGAATAAAGCGGAGTAGTAAAGACAGATGAAGTTAACTGGTAAAATTTTTTTTGCTAGGAAGAAGGGTTTAGTATGAGAATCGGGTTTGAGGTTAAAAATTAAACGTATTGATCTTTTTTGGGAAAGTATTAGATTATTCAGGTGGCTTTTTGGACTATTTCCCCATATTGTGATGCAGTAGGTTAGATAAGGGTAGATGAATGTGTAATAAAGCGTGCGAAGAGCAGAAAGAGAGAGTTTATATTTGATTTTATAGAAGATGCCTGTGAGTTTGTTGATTTTGTTTGAGGTAGTTTGTAGGTGATAATTCCATGAAAGATTTTCTGTGATGGTGATTCCAAGAAATTTGGTTGTTGGAAGTAAAAAGAAGGTTGGTGTCGTCTGCGAACAGAACGCATAGTAATAGTAACAAATAAACTGTAACAAACCATTTGCATGAGGTTTCTCTGGAATGATGTTAATAATCGTAATTATAATTATTATTATTATTCCCATTATTTGTAATATATTATTATATAAAATAAACCATACACCATAGTAATAGTAGTAAAATGTAACAAACCATTTGCAGGAGGTTTTTCTGGAATGATATTAATTACCAAAATATGTATATCATGAATAATAATAATTATAATTTGATTATAAATAATAATTATTATAATAATTATTGTAAACTGACCTTTAGGTTTAGTGGTCTCATTGTAGTCTATTAAATAAAAACGCCTTACTCTTAGTACCAATAGCATATGTATTATTATCACTGCTATCATAGTAGTCGTCACAAATGGAAGAAATAAGTTGAGTTGAAGTCAGCACGGTGGTAATCTAGAATGCTCAATCAATTGATTCATTCATATGTATATTATGGATAAAAATAGTTATAATAAAAATCAATCTTCGTTTTGCGTCCAGAGACCCGGTTCCCCGAGGTAGGATGTAGTTATAATAAAAATAATAGCTATTATTTTCACTGTAAACTGACCTTCTTCAAATACAGTGGTTTCAGTGCCTATTAAATAAAAATGCCTAATGTTATTTATGATTGTCAAATTGGCTACGCATAATTTTATAATTGTTATTATAATTATATTTAAGTATAATTAGTTTTAGTGTTAATTCTTGCAATTATTCCTGTTATCAATATAATATAAATACGTGAACCTCACTTAAGTAATAGTAATTAGATGAAACAAACCCTCTGTGCTAAGATGTTCTAGAATATGAATCACAACAAATAAGCATTTAATGGATAATAATAATTATATTATAATAATTATAATTATAAAAAACTGACCTTTCCCAGCTTAAATAAAAATATCTGATTGATAGTAATTACCAAAAAGAATTATAGTACGAATAATAACAATTATAATTATTGTAAGCTGACCATCGGGTTTTGGGATCTGGTCGCCTGTTAAATAAAAATGCCTGATGTCATTTATGATTGTGAAGTTAGCTAAGCATAATTTTATTATTATTATTATTATTATATCTAGTTATCAGTGGTTTTAGTATTAGTAGTATATGTATTATTATCGTTGCTATTATAGTCGCAGTCACAAATGTAAGAAAGAAGTTGCTGAGTTGAAGTTCAAAAGTCAGTACGGCGGTAATCTAGAATACTCAATTCATCCTATGTTTCAATCATTCATTCATCCTTTTATTCATCCCTACATCCTTTCATTCATTCATTTATTCATCCATTCGTTAACTCTAACTAAATAAAGATTATCTTTAGTAAAGAAAAACAAAGTTGAGGAATTGTGTTACTAAAAATATAAAAAACGCATCAGAATTTTTTTTTCATAAGTATTGCAATTATTCTTATTATTAATATGAATAAATAAATTTTACTTAAGTAATAACATGAAACTCACAATTACTATAAACGATGACCGAACTACTATTTGCAGCTCTATATGTTCCAGAGGTGATGACATTAGAAGCAGTGCATGTGCAATTATACATACCACTCTTGGTTAAGGTCAAAACATTAGTTTCTGATGTGACAGGACTGTTGCTGCTGCTACTACTTCCATCATCATCTTGTGGAATGCATGAGATGCTATATGTTGGCGGTGGCACTCCAACCCCGTTGCAAGTGATCGAACGATCGACGCATGTATGAGTGCTGTTGAATTTAACATCTGTAACAGGCTCTGGAGGGTTTTTTCATTAAAAAATATTCAACTTCCAAACAAGCCTTGCTCTACTTACTGTAAGAATA